GTTTATTTGTAACTAACAGATACACTCCCTTTAACAATCCCTCTCTAGGCAGGTACGGCCTCCGGGTTATCAGGGACTTATACTCTGCCCACTTAACTCTTAGCCCTCCGGCTAGCAGTGCCCTCGGGGAGGCTATCTGACCCGACCCAGCCAAGATTACGGATCTCGACCACTGGTCCCAGCTCGAACCCGGCGCTTACAAGGGCAGCGGGCTCGAGGTCCCAGGGTCCTAGTCTCGCTGCTCTTCAGTCTTCGTAGCAGTGCTTGGAGCTATGCTCGGGGTGCCACTTTTATACACCTCCAGGGGACCCTCCGCCCCTGCTAACGCCCCCTTTCTGGAACCTTCCAGAAGATCCTGGAAGGCGCCCTCCCAGCCCCCACCCACCTGGGGCAGGGGTGGGGAACCCCGCCTCTCTTGGGTCCGGCTCCCTCCCTGTCCCCTTTGTACTCGCTGGCACACCCTACAGACCTCTGGCTGCAACTGCAGGTAAGTGGATACCGGCGGTACGTGCGTACGCGATCCTACGCTACACGTATACAAATCTTGCATTGTCTTTGTCTATGTGACACTTTGAACAAATCTCACACAAATCCACCTGTTTAGTATCGTTCAAAACTCTTACCTTTTCCGAGTTATAGGCGCAAAACACGCGCACATACACACACACACGTGTGAATGTGGACTAGAACGTTACACACCTCTACATTCAATCGTGCTTGCGTGCATTAGAACATCAAATGTTTCCCTGATAGCCACGAGAATCAACCGTGAACCAAGCAAACGGTGCTACGAGCAATATTTGGCCCTGCAGGAATGTCATAGGTGAGCATCAGGGTGCCAGGTGATTGAATGAGGTGAGAATGAGTGATTGAATGAAGGAGAGAAATGTGATCTCAAAAAACTTTTTTTAAACACATTTGACAATTCTGCCTATACGTACTGTATTGTGAAGTTCAAAACTCTGTAATGCAAAATCAAATGTTTTGCTACTGTCCGCCAGACAGCGGTGTGTGCAAATGAGAAAGTGAGAGGAATTAAGTGAGGAAAGAATGAGACTGTCAGGGTTAAGTGAAATGAGATAAATTACGAACTGAACTAGGGAGGAATCACAATGAATGAGGCATGAGTGGGAATGAGGAAATAAGGCGTAAATGAAAGAGTAAATGAGGCATTAATGAGTGAATGAGATGAATGATCACCTTTACATTTACCATAATCACCTTACACCCATATTCACCTTTATACCCATCACCACCATCACCGATACACCCATCAACACCTTACACCCCATCATCACCATCATCACCGATTCACCCATCACCACTTGTCACCCCACCATCACCACTATCACCGATACACCCATCAACACCTTACACCCCATCATCACCACCATCACCTATTCACCCACGATCACCACCATCACCGATTCACCCACCACTACCTTACACCCATCATCAACTATAAACACATCACCTATTCACCCATCACCACCTTACACCCCACCATCACCATCATCACCTATACACCCACCATCACCACCATCACCTATTCACATATCATCACCTATTCACCCACCATCACCACCATCACCTATTCACCCACCATCACCACCATTACCTATTCACCCATCACCAGCTACACCCCCATCATAACCACTATCACCTATACACCCATCACCACCGTACACCCCATCATCACCATCATCACCTATTCACCCATCACCACCTTACACCCCATCATTACCACCATCACCTATTCACCCACCGTCATCACCATCACCTATACACCCATCACCACCTTACACCCATCAACATCTTACACCCCACCATCACCACCATCACCTATTCACCCATCACCACCTTAGACCCCATATCACCACCATCACCTATTCACCCACCACCATCACCTATTCACCCATCACCAGCACCACCCCCATCATCAACTATACACACATCACCACCTTACATCCCATCACCACCACCATCACCTATACACACATCACCACCTTACACCCCATCACCACCACCATCACCTATTCACTCATCACACCTTACACCCCACCATCACCACCATCACCTATACACCCACCATCACCACCATTACCTATACACCCACCATCACCACCATCACCTATTCACACATCACCACCATCACCTATTCACCCACCATCACCACCATCACCTATTCACCCATCACCACCTTACAACCCATCATCACCACCATCACCTATCACCCACCATCAACTATTCACCCATCACCACCTTACACCCCACCATCACCTATTCACCCACCATCACCTATTCACCCATCACCACCTTACACCCCACCATCACCACCATCAACTATTCACCCACCATCACCACCATCACCCATCACCACCTTACACCCCATCATCACCATAATCACCTATTCACACATCACCACCATCACGTATTCACATATCACTACCATCACCTATTCACCCATCACCACCATTACCTATTCACCCATCACCACCTTACACCCCACCATCACCTATTCACCCACCATCACCTATGCACCCATCACCACCTTACACCCATTATCAACTATACACACATCACCTATTCACCCATCACCACCTTACACCCCACCATCATTACCTATTCACCCACCATCACCACCATCACCTATTCACCCATCACCACCTTACACCCCATCACCACCACCATAACCTATTCACCCACCGTCAGCACCATCACCTATACACCCATCACCACCTTACACCCATCAACATCTTACACCCCACCATCACCACCATCACCTATTCACCCATCACCACCTTACACCCCATATCACCACCATCACCTATTCACCCACCATCACCTATACACCCATCACCAGCACCACCCCCATCATCAACTATACACACATCACCACCTTACATCCCATCACCACCACCATCACCTATGCACACATCACCACCTTACACCCCATCACCACCACCATCACCTATTCACCCATCACCACCTTACACCCCATCACCACCACCATCACCTATTCACTCATCACACCTTACACCCCACCATCACCACCATCACCTTTACACCCACCATCACCACCATTACCTATACACCCACCATCACCACCATCACCTATTCACACATCACCACCATCACCTATTCACCCACCATCACCACCATCACCTATTCACCCATTACCACCTTACACCCCATCATCACCACCATCACTTATCACCCACCATCAACTATTCACCCATCACCACCTTACACCCCACCATCACCTATTCACTCATTACCACCTTACACCCCACCAACACCACCATCAACTATTCACCCACCATCACCACCATCACCTATTCACCCATCACCACCTTACACCCCATCATCACCATAATCACGTATTCACACATCACCACCATCACGTATTCACACATCACCACCATCACCTATTCACCCATCACCACCATCACCTATTCACCCATCACCACCTTACACCCCACCATCACCACCATCACCTATTCACCGACCATCACCACCATCACCTATTCACCCATCACCACCTTACACCCATCATCAACTATACACACATCACCTATTCACCCATCACCACCTTACACCCCACCATCATCACCTATTCACCCATCACCACCACCATCACCTATACACACATCACCACCTTACACCCCATCATCAACTATACACACATCACCTATTCACCCATCACCACCTTACACCCCACCATCATCACCTATTCACCCATCACCACCACCATCACCTATACACACATCACCACCTTACACCCCATCACCACCACCATCACCTATTCACCCATCACAACCTTACACCCCACCATCACCACCATCACCTATTTACTCATCACACCTTACACCCCACCATCACCATAATCACCTATTCACACATCACCACCATCTATTCACCCATCACCACCATCACCTATTCACCCATCACCACCTTACACCCCACCATCACCTATTCACCCACCATCACCTATTCACCCATCACCACCTTGCACCCCATCATCACCACCATCAACTATTCACCCATCACCACCTTACACCGCACCATCACCACCATCACCTATTCACCCATCACCACCTTACACCCGATCACCACCACCATAACCTATTCACCAACCATCAGCACCATCACCTATTTACACATCACCACCATCACCTATTCACCCACCATCACCTATTCACCCATCACCACCTTACACCCCTTCATCACCACCATCACCTATTCACCACCATCAGCACTATCACCTATTCACACATCACCACCATCACCTATTCACCCATCACCACCTTACACCCTACCATCACCACCATCACCTATTCACCCATCACCACCTTACACCCCACCATCACCACCATCACCTATTCACCCACCATCACCACCATCACCTATTCACCCATCACCACCTTACACCCCATCATCACCACCATCACCTATTCACCACCATCAGCACCATCACCTATTCACACATCACCACCATCACCTATTCACCCACCATCATCACCTATTCACCCATCACCACCTTACACCCCACCATCACCTATTCACCTATCACCACCTTACACCCCACCATCACCTATTCACCCATCACCACCATCACCTATTCACCCATCACCAACACCACCATCACCTATTCACACATCACCACCATCACCTATTCACACATCACCACCATCACCTATTCACCCACCATCACCTATTCACCCACCATCACCACCATCACCTATTCACCCACCATCACCTATTCACCCACCATCACCTATTCACCATCACCACCATCACCTATTCACCCACCATCACCTATTCACCATCACCACCATCACCTATTCACCCACCATCACCACCATCACCTATTCACCCACCATCACCTATTCACCATCACCTATTCACCCACCATCACCTATTCACCATCACCACCATCACCACCATCACCTATTCACCCACCATCACCTATTCACCATCACCACCATCACCACCCCCACCACCACGTTAGCCCCGCCCCGCTCTCCGCACTGAGTCACGCTGCGGTCACGTGCCTCGTGCTGCCGCCGCTGCTGCCGCGGAAGCGACAACTCAGTCGACGTGTCGCGGTTTGTTTCGACTTACTTACCTGATTTATTTAAACAGAAATGCCACGCGTCACCCGTGTTACACTATAATACGTCTCGGCACTACAACTTGTGTGTGTGTGTGTCACGTCAGGCAACGCACGAAGCTACGTAACTTAAACTTCTGCAGTCAAATCGCACACGCTGGCAATTCGTGGTTGACCGGTACATTCTCAATACAGATGCGGGATGATGATGATGGTGGTGATGATGGTGGTGATGATGATGGTGGTGGTGATAATTGCAACATAAAAAACTCGCCCACGTGCAAATGTGACCGCGATGGTCACGGACGTAACCTTCCCGAGAGGGGGGATGGAATGATTAAATCTGCAGCTGGTATTGTCGCTGCTAGATGGTTTTATTCATTCACATCGTAGGATCGGGGGGGGGGGGGGTAAAAAAAGCGGCGGACGAGCGGTTCAAGGAAGATGCTCATCCAGCAGTTGATTGACCCTGGCTGCTGACGATGATTTTTTCTTAATGGAAATCGCAATTGCGATGATGCTGATGATGATTACGACGATCGTGAGAGATGGCGACTGTTTGGGAGCGCCTCTTTTATTTCAATGCACCAGCATTTGAGCATCTGCTATACAGGAAGTAGTGCAGCAGATGATGATGATCATCGTTGTGATGATGATACGGATCGATAATGACTCGAGTCACGATAACGTTGCGGTCACGGTGACGGCTGAATGCCGCCGGCTTTAAGAGGGGTGGTGTGCGATGTTGTGAGCGGGATGTCAGGATGGCCGAGCGGTCTAAGGCGCCAGACTCAAGGCGAATTTGAAGCCTTCCGTGCTCAACGCGGGATATCTGGTCTCCGATTGGAGGCGTGGGTTCAAATCCCACTTCTGACATAATATTTTTGATGCTATTTGTTAACATTTTATGGTCGCTCGAAAGGAAAGTTGTTGTTTGCGCCGGGGACCGGCTTTTTTTTCACCAAACGCTTTCGGACAACGTATATAGCGTCGGCCTGTCATAAGTTATTGCGGGTTCACAAAGGCGTTTGTGAAAATGTCACCGCTGTGTAAGCAATCGCCGTGAGGCTTGGGCGCAATAATTATTGTCGCGTGTTTGTGGCAGTGCTGCCCTCTGCAGGCGACGGCTTGCGTTGGCGTGCGATGCAATGCAACAAAGCACGGTGGCGAGTTTGAGTATTTACCTTGGGACGTGATTGGCACGTCTAATATTTGATTGTATGGCTACTTAATCATTTCCACGTACTGCATGTTGGCCCTGAAAATAATAGCTGTACTTTTAAACAATATGCAGCAATAATACGCGTGTGGGAGAAGCAGTGGAAAGTGCATGACGACATGAACCCAGGAGTTTAATTGCCATCCATGAAAACAAATCAGTGGCGAGTGATATCTGAACCGGATTTACGGTCAAACGACCCAGGGTGACCAATCCTGATGGCTGAAGAACTGCATCCGGCATTGGATTTGACAAGAAAGAGTGTGTAACACTCCTGTAGTATTAAATAATAGTAACAACGCTCATTTTATATATATACACTCTAAAGTGTAAGACAAAGACAACTGAGGATGGTGAATCTGAATGGTTGACATCACTCGAATGTGGGTAATTAATCAGGTCAAAATTATGTGGATTTCCGGAGGTGGTCATAATATGATTCTGCACTGCTTCCTGGATAGCAATTGCTCAAATGCTGGTGCATTGAAATGAAAAAATGAAAATTCCAAAATGATTGGCTTGTGGAGGGAGTGGGAGCTTGGCACGTGAAAGTAGCAGAATGGAAGAGACCTCAAAAAACAATCCCTGTGCCACATGTTATCTTTCTATAGAATTGGAAGGTGTAATTCGCTACCCTTCCAAGGACATTTGGAAAAATACCAACAATGGGCCGCATGTCGCACATTCCCACAATAACAGATTTTATATTGAATTTAAATTCAGGATATAAAAAAGCCCAATTGAAGGGATTTCTGCACATTTTTTACTTCAACAAGGACAACAAAAGGATTATTCTCTCTACTGGTACTAAGCAATATCTCGGCTCCATTTCTCTCATTTTCACCTCCCGAATATAGATATACATTTCGATTTAAAGCTTTCGTGACTGCAGTGATTCATATTCTTGGTTCTTTCGGTAAAGTCACGTTGAAGGGAAACAATCAAATATATATAAAATAAAAAAAATTCTCACGACGTTTCGACTGCAACACAAGCAGTCATCATCAGGTGTGAAAACCAACGGCAAGAACATTGTTATGCAAACCATCTTGAGATACAGTATATTGCATTTGCTTGAAGTACCCAATCGAATACACTAAATTACGTGTGCTTTCCTATGACTATGTTCTGTGTATACAGCGAGTGATTAATGAAAAACTAATTACATGTTGGTGTGAAGCACGGTTGCAAGTTTGAATATTTACCTTGGGACTTGATTGGCATCTCTAATATTTGATTGTATGGTACTTAAACATTTTCACAGACTGGGTGTTGGCCCTGAAAATATTTGCTGCACTTTTAAACAATATGCAGCAATAATAATACGCGTGTGGGCGAAGCAGTGGAAAGTGCATGACGGCATGAACCCAGGAGTTTAATTGCCATCCATGACAACAATTAGTGGCGAGTGATATCTGAACCGGAGTTACGGTCAAACGACCCAGGGTGACCAATCCTGATGGCTGAAGAACTGCATCCGGCGTTGGATTGGCAAGAGTGTGTAACACTAATGTAGTCTTGAAAAATAGGAACAACACTCATTTTCTATTTACAATCTAAAGTGTAAGACAAAGATAATGGAAGATGGTGGTAAATCTGAATGGTTGATATCACTCGAATTTGGGTAATTAGGTCAGAATTATGTGGGTTTACAGAGGTGGTCATAACATGATTCTGCACTGCTTCCTGTATAGCAGATGCTTAAATGCTGGTGCATTGAAATAAAACATTTTCAAATCCAAAATGATTGACTTGTGGAGGGAGTGGGAGCTTGGCACGTGGAAAGTAGCAGATTGGAAGAGACCTCTAAAAACAATCCCTGTGCCACATGTTTTTTTTTCTATAGAATTGGAAGGTGTAATTCGCTACCCTTCCAAGGACATTTGGAAAAATACCAACAATGGGCCGCATGTCACACATTCCAACAATAACAGACTTTATAATGAATTTAAATTCAGAATCTAAAAAAGCCCAATTGAAGGGATTTTTGCACATTTTTTACTACAACAAGGAAAACAAAAGGATTATTCTCTCTACTGCTACTAAGCAATATCTCGGTTCCATTTCTCTCATTTTCACCTCCCGAATATAGATATACATTTATGCAAACCATCTTCAGATACAGTATATTGCATTTGCTTGAAGTACCCAAATGAATACACTAAATTATGTGTGCTTTGCTATGACTCTATGTTCTGTGTATACAGCGAGTGATTAATAAAAAAACTACATGTTGGTGTGAACAGAAAAATGGAGATCCAGATTGTCAACACGTGGGACGGTGAGCCAGTAAACCACGATCCCATGGTGATGAGCTTGCGACCTCACCCTGAGGGTCTTGGGTTGCAATTGGGGGTGACAGCACCTTTCTTCAATGACCCTCCTGCACCACACAGCGACCCAGGCCAGCCATGTCATCAACTGTGGGATTATGAAGGTGACCTTACATCTGTGCAGCAGTCCTCCAACCTCACTGTACCTAATATTGTGATATTGCTATCCTTTTCCAAGCCAGAAAATCCCGTTCATATAAACCTGCTTATATATGGCTTGATATTTCTTGATATATTTGATTTTCATACGTGGTAAATGAACCCAAATGTTATTGATAATTATCTAACCCATATACGAAAATCAGACAGAGCAACAATATGCCTTTCTTATCTTTGCACGTAATAATTCAATTGCAACAAGGATAAGCACATGGGTGGTTTATTTTACCTGGGAAATTTAGTGGAAGGGAATTTGTATTCGATGAAAGGGTTAAATATCTGAAAAGTACAAGTTCTGAAGGTATCAAATATTTATTATATTTTCTTTGCAGTCGTGGAAATGTTTTTTTTAAACGACCAAATGGAGAAGTACCTGGAGGTTGAACTTTGCCCGTGAGTTTCACTTGTTGCCTTTGCTCACTCATGGGTATGATTCCAGGGCTGTGTGGGTGTGCAGTTGCATCCCTAGACACAATACCGATTACCTACCCAAGCAGCTGCTTTCATCCAGAAAGTCTTACATTACACCGTGCCTGAATGAACCGCTAATATTTCTGCCTTGCGCATTCAATTTTGCTCTCTAGTAAAATCAAATAATAAAACAACCAGCCATATTTTCGTGAAATGTAATGCTCACTTTTCCTCTTAATGTTGCTCTTGGCACATTTCTCAGCTCATGCTGCTGCATACATCAGTTTTCTTCACAGCAATTTGGCAAATACGACTCTGCTGTGTTTCAGGCATGGGCAACACCTGGTGCTTCTTCTGGACGGACGACGGAAAATATGGAAGGTGAATATTAAACTCAGAACTATGGTTCATTGTCTTGGGTATTATTAACAAACAAGTGAGTAATGTCCTTCTCAAATGAGCATTGAGCATCTCTTGTTTACAGCCCTGTACCAGTGCTGGAATTTCTGCATTCCTCTGATGAGGGATAGTCTCCATAAGACAGCCACTGTTGAATTCACAAACGTCACTCCTCCAAAGTACATTTTTCACACCTCTTGTTATTTTCAGGACGACCTTCTGCTGGATTTTGAAGTGATGCCTCTCGAAGATGAGTGCAACGGTGTCCGAAGATGGCAGGGCCATGCCCTCGTGCCTTGGAGATATCTGCCGCCCGGGGTGTGCAAATTTAATGCTTACGCCATTCACGGATCAGGGGAGGCCCGTGTGTACGAGGCCTTCTTTCCGGTCCCCAAGCACAAAGTGCAACCCGGCATGCAGCCCGACTTGTGAGTCATGCACTTTGCCAAAGCACACTGTTTTTTAAGGGGGAATGTGACAAATAAATACTGCCCAATTGTCAAAAATTAAATTGCAGCTTGTTTTGCCTTTCTGTTGACTTCCAGCCACAGGCTGGAGTATTTTGGGGATTTGGATTTGCCAGCTCTTATGGGGAATGACTGGATCCAGCCCGATTCTGAAATTTGGAGCGCTCGACTTGTCGGCAAGCCTTAACGCGAAGAACAACACAGGTGGCAGCTTGCGATGTTTTTTTTCGTTCATAAAATTTGCATACCATAACAGTGATCCAAAATGTTTAATTACCATATTGTATGTTGGACACTTTCTTCCCTTGTTTTAAGCCATATTACTGGAGGCGATAATTTGCCCCTCTACAGCCTGTGGCCAACCCCTTATGGGACTTGACCCAGCTTCCCTTCCACGAGAGTGCCAGTCGCCGGGCGGGGGGGTGCCTGCCGAAAGTTGATCCGCCCAGGGACGGAGACCATGCCTCGCTGCGCCAAACAAATGCCACTTTCAACCGTGAAAGATTTGAAATGTATAAAACAGAACAAATATATTTTTTATTACCCCCAACTTACCGGTAACACTTCTCTTCGTAATTTGTTTTTATATACTATATGTGTAGATACATTACCGAGTTAAAAGGCTGTGTTGCAGGTGGGAAGCAAATGTTTGCCATTAATCAAAGGTGTTCTTGAGCAAAACTGAATGGTATATTCAGGTAGGTGAAGGTTTACTGTGGTCAAATAAGCCATGGTGTGGATCATGTTGGCTTTGTTTATATGATGTACCTTGAGTTAATGACATGTTGAACACGTATGCACATTTTCAAGGTTCATCTTTTGTTTTTTTTTACAACTGGAAGCTTAAAGCAAAAAACTATTAGGAGTTATAGAAAGTGCAAAACTCCTTTATAAACCAGTGCCATGTAACATCACATGACAATATAAGTCTTAACAAACTTTACACGTACATGATTTGGAGATTTGCGCATTTTAATACAGGTCTGATATGCTTGCATTTCAAAATGAATGCTCTCACTGAGCAGTTTAGTGCCTTACAATAATACAATACGAACAAAGATCCATCTTCATACAATATGCTTGCAAACATAGAAAGCGCTGTGAAATTGTAGCAGTGCCGTATTTTGATTTAAAGCTTTCGTGACTGCAGGGATTCATATTATTGGTTCTTTCGGTAAAGTCACGTAGAAGGGAAACAATAAAATAATATCAAACAATATTGTTTTATATTATTTCGTGACTTTACCGAAAGAACCAAGAATATACAGTGCCCTATTGTCATTCTTATTCAAAGACTGTACAGGAATAACAAATGCCTACGTATTTATTCACACACATATATAAATGATTCACTCTTTAGGTTTGAATGTACACCTTCCTGTAAATGTTTGAAGTAAAATGCACTTAGAATTTAAACACTGAATTGAATGCACAACAATTTGCCGTTTGTACTCACACGCTTTAATAGAGATGAAGTAGTAGGTACGTATCTCAAATAAAACAAGTCTATTCGAGGTGATGGCAAATATGGTGACTGATGTGTATAAACACTCCACGAAGCAACCGCAGACTCTTTCTAAATGTGGACAAATGCACTTTTATGCTGTAAAAGACGTGCATTTTTTAAAATATATATATAACATGGAGAAAAAAAAAAATGGTCCGGTATATGTTTCTTCGTGGTGCAGCTTTTGTCCCCGTTACCGCTACTTTTTTTTTGCTCACCTAGCGGCGAGCTTGAGGGTGCCTTGTCTGCTATTCTTGCACGTTTTTTTCCCTCGGTTTACTTTGGCACCGCAGCTTGCCCGGCAGAGCTCACGACGGGGCCTCGGTTTTCATCGCCTTTTAATCCAAAACACGACAAACATAACCCCAGCCGCCTGCCATTCTCGATGTACATCATCTGGAAATGGGGTCGCAAAAAAAACATGACCGCAGAAGCTGACGAAAACAAATTAAACGTGTTTATTTTGGTGTGTTTGTGAAACGCCTCGCAAATAAATTAGGTTTTACAGTGAGGGGGAAAAAAAGTATTTGATCCCCTGCTGATTTTGTACGTTTGCCCACTGCCAAAGAAATGATCAGTCTGTAATTTTAATGGTAGGTTTATTTGAACAGTGAGAGACAGACTAACAACAAAAAAAATCCGGAAAAACGCATGTCAAAAATGTTATGAATTGATTTGCATTTTAATGAGGGAAATAAGTATTTGACCGATCTGCAAAACATGACTTAGTACTTGGTGGCAAAACCCTTGTTGGCAATCACAGAGGTCAGACGTTTCTTGTAGTTGGCCACCAGGTTTGCACACATCTCAGGAGGGATTTTGTCCCGCTCCTCTTTGCAGATCTTCTCAAAGTCATTAAGGTTTCGAGGCTGACGTTTGGCAACTCGAACCTTCAGTTCCCTCCACAGATTTTCTTTGGGATTAAGGTCTGGAGACTGGCTAGGCCACTCCAGGACCTTAATGTGCTTCTTCTTGAGCCACTCCTTTGTTGCCTTGGCCGTGTGTTTTGGGTCATTGTCATGCTGGAATACCCATCCACGACCCATTTTCAATGCCCTGGCTGAGGGAAGGAGGTTCTCACCCAAGATTTGACGGTACATGGCCCTGTCCATCGTCCCTTTGATGCGGTGAAGTTGTCGTGTCCCCTTAGCAGAAAAAACACCCCCAAAGCATAATGTTTCCACCTCCATGTTTGACGGTGGGGATGGTGTTCTTGGGGTCATAGGCAGCATTCCTCCTCCTCCAAACACGGCGAGTTGAGTTGATGCCAAAGAGCTCCATTTTGGTCTCATCTGACCACAACACTTTCACCCAGTTGTCCTCTGAATCATTCAGATGTTCATTGGCAAACTTCAGACGGGCATGTTTATGTGCTTTCTTGAGCAGGGGGACCTTGCGGGCGCTGCAGGATTTCAGTCCTTCACGGCGTAGTGTGTTACCAATTGTTTTCTTGGTGACTGGTCCCAGCTGCCTTGAGATCAAGATCCTCCCGTGTAGTTCTGGGCTGATTCCTCACCGTTCTCATGATCATTGCAACTCCACGAGGTGAGATCTTGCATGGAGCCCCAGGCCGAGGGAGATTGACAGTTCATTTGTGTTTCTTCCATTTGCAAATAATCGCACCAACTGTTGTCACCTTCTCACCAAGCTGCTTGGCAATGGTCTTGTAGCCAATTCCAGCCTTGTGTAGGTCTACAATCTTGTCCCTGACATCCTTGGAGAGCTCTTTGGTCTTGGCCATGGTGGAGAGTTTGTAATCTGATTGATTGATTGCTTCTGTGGACAGGTGTCTTTTATACAAGTAACAAGCTGAGATTAGGAGCACTCCCTTTAACAGTGTGCTCCTAATCTCAGCTCGTTACCTGTATAAAAGACACCTGGGAGCCAGAAATCTTTCTGATTGAGAGGGCGTCAAATACTTATTTCCCTGATTAAAATGCAAATCAATTTATAACATTTTTGACATGCGTTTTTCCGGATTTTTGTGTTGTTATTCTGTCTCTCACTGGTCAAATAAACCTACCATTAAAATTATAGACTGATCATTTGTCAGTGGGCAAACGTACAAAATCAGCAGGGGATCAAATACTTTTTTCCCTCACTGTATCTTGGACAGGAAAGTATGTGGTAATGCCTTTTCATATACAGAACATTTACTAAATTTGCACATAACAGTATTCCAGTTTTCACTGTCAATTTGTTGAATTTGCCTCTTTTTGCCACAGCACACTCAAATCAAACCCACCTGATTTTAATTTAAAAGTAACATTTTATAACATTGACCATCATATTGTGTCATGGCTTAGGTGTGTCGGTCATTTGGGTTCTTTGACCATACTTCACCATGTTGGTTAGTTTAGGATGGTGAAGCACAGTCCCCCAGTCCCCAGCGGCTCAGCTTCTTCGAGCCACGGCACCAGCTGAGACGGCGAATGAGCAAATTGTATAATGAATCGCTGGATACGAACAGAACGCCTTTACGGGTTTCAACCATTACAATGACATCGCAAGACCATGTGGAAATGGCGATGGTGGATAGAGCAATGTTGATGTTGATGAACTTAGCAATTTTAGTCGATGAAAGGATGCCTCCCGTTGTTAATGCAAAATAATTGTAATAAAAAGTGCTAATCCTAAACAGTTATTACATTTAAAATGAAGCTGTTAGAAGTCGAGCACACACTGCAAGTCCTCTGAGTGCACATTACAGAAAGATTGTTGAAATGAATGCGTGTTTCGTAATTAATTTCAGCAAACATTTTCAAATAAAAAATAACTTTATTGGTCTTGGATTCAAGCCAGAAATGCAGCGCCTACACATTCCCATAATGCCCTGCTAACAAATGATTGGCACTTAGTTTAACAGTAGGTGGAGCAATTGATGCGGTTGCACCACATGATCTGGAACCTGCAGGGCCTGTGTGAAATGCTTGCTTGCATTCAAAAGGTCAACTCATGATCGTCGTGAGGGTGGGGGCCTTCATCATAGCATTCCTTATTTCAAGAGTCCATTGGTCAAACCATTAATGGGGCTTCAGTGCTTGCCAAGGACCAATTTCCAAGGGGCCTTGCCTCTTGATCTTGCTACCGGTCCCACTAAAGGTTCTCTAAGAATCCAGTTTTCTTACAAAAAAATTGCCACCAATTCCCAATTAACACAGGCAAGTGCGAGGCTGCTAAACACGGAATGTTTCATGGTAATATTTCTATTGAGCCTACCAGATAAATACTATTTCACTTACCGACAGAGATCAATTACATATTTGTATGCTCATGTTCTGAGAGAAGAAAATGGCAGTGGTAGGCATTTGTTAAATCATGCATGGGTTGGGGGGGGGATAAATGGAAATGTTGGCAAAGAGCTTTCTTTATTCCTCAATAAGCAATATAAAACAATTCAGCTGCAAGTGGACAAATAAGCATATGAAAAAGAAATAGGTGAATATGATGAATGCAATGTCAATTTCCTTTATTCGGTGCCTGATGTTTTTCAGTAAATGAGAATGTGTTCATATTTGGCAAGGTGCATCGCCTAGATTAAATACAATAGTAAGTTATAAGATTGAAGGGGTTTGTTTGTGCTGGCAAACATGAACAGCCTAAATCATACGCTCGATTGAACTAACGGTTTTATATAATTCCCAACAAATAAATGCCCATGAAAATACAAAAGTGAATCCCGTTTTACGAATCATTGAACGTTGTTATGGCCTTCAATCATATCTGTAAATTATAAGAAAACCCATCGCAACATTAAAAACCAATCATTCAGATGTGACCAGCCACTCCTTTGTCTCAGCGGTGGTAGGATATATACTTTCAAAATCCGTGCCCTTTTTTTGCTTGAGTTGCATACCAACACAAAGTGACTAAATTTGTCCGTGCATTTTTTTTTTGGTTGCCATTCGGGGGTGGCATGACGGAGCGTGCTTGTGACACACTCCAGGCGAACCCCAAAAAGAATGAGTCTGACAGCTGCCCATCAAAGCCGCTTGCAACAGCCGCCGCCTTTCCGAGGATTATCAATGGCGGGCTCGGGCGCCGGTTAACGGTGACCGGGTGCTTAGAGTCCTTTTTGAGACAGAGTTTAATGCCGTCTGGGGCCATGCCTTCTTTGCAACATCGCTGACATTCCCAGAGGCGATAACCAGCGACGTCTGCGTTGCAGCCATTGACATTCACGTTGGCTGCCAACTTTTTATGCTGAAGAGTGGGACCACTGCTTTTGAAACCTTACGCTACCTCTAAAGCGCTTACAATGTATGTCATTTGAGATGCCACAGAAGTATACTGGTTAAGGTCAGCTTTGAATTTTACCAGTGGTTAGCTTTATCGGAATCAGCTGTGCCAAAGAGTACCTTATAATGCTACTGATTGCAAAACCGCATTTGTAGCTTTAAGTACACCTTATGTGTATCCATAATAACACTTTATTATGCTGTGCGAGTAATTACATTGTAGAGTGCCCGTATCCCAACACTATCATATAATATTATGACCATTTACAGCAGTGCCAATCAAAATTTGTTGTAATCATTGTCCAGAAACACAGTTTTATTTATGTGTTAACGAAATTCGACGTGCTCGCAAAAAGATTTGTTCTGAATGCAGAACAGTCGATGAAACCTCAACTTATTGTAAAAACACGAGCTCTCATTTTGGATCGTGTTTGGGACGAAAGAAATGTGCCTTCGAAAACTGTTTAAATGTGTCCAATGGGTATCTACTGTGATTCTAAATTGCTTCCATAAAATATCTTGAAATATCTAAAACACTCTCTTAATGTGCCAGACATACGTGCGTCATTGTAACATGCTGTAAATTTAAATTGAACACGTTACAATTTTACTACTCTGGTGCTACCACACAAAGCATACATTCCAAGAGAGTCTACTTTCTGTTCCTAACTTTCTAAATCATCTCGCACGTAACGAGCTGCAGTAATCTGTTGATTTTCCGCCTCACATTGGTACACTTTTCAATGATTGTTCTTGATCCTGTTTCAAT